ATAGGTTAGGGTTAGGGTTTAACATATTAAACATAATTAAGAATTTAATTAAGGATAAAAATTAAATAATTAGGGACAAATTATTTACAAATAATACATAATAATAAAAATAACACAACATATATTAATTCAAAAGTTTTCACTACATCAAATTAATTTATAAATATCAAAATCATTTAAATAAATATAAAATTAGACTTTTAAATCGTAAAAAATTCTAGAAAATAAAAAAAATACAAATACTCTTTTAAAAATAATAATTGAATATTTTAAAATACTAGAAATATTATTTTAACTAGTATCAAAAATTCATGGTAATTACATTCTGATGAATGAATAGAGTATTGCCATTGATGATGAAATATATGTATCCCATCATGAAAATACCACAATCTAAGCTCCTACATAAACAAATGCCACAATCAATAATTATATAATAAAATAATGATATTTTAAAAAAACTATACTAATATATTTTAAGTTATGATCATACCCATCCTGTTGAGGAACCTATTGGGTTTCTATATAATCCTCATCCATATTTCCTATTTTCCGTTCATCCTTAATACAAGCAGGGAAATTGTTCATAATATATAAACCTCTGCACGTTCCCACTAACCAACAACAATTATGTTCATAATGTACGTATAATTATAGGTATGATTGTCTTTTAATTTTTTTTAAATGAAGAGTACAACATAAAGAAATGGATAACAACAACTCAAAATGCTTTATGACATCCATTTGAAAAATTATCAATAAAATTGTGTATATATTTACATATTTTTGGAGTTTTATATCTAGAAAGAAAAACTAGCTATATTACCAATATATTATACTTTACACAGTATAAGTGTTAACCAATAGTAAAGCTCCTATAAACTTAAGTGGATAGGAGCACTTGTCCACTAAACTTTTTATCCCTTCATTATGCTATGAGATTTGTGCTACACATCAATGCTATCTTTGAGATTTGTGCTTTTATTTATATCATATGCTAGCACAAATCTCAATGCAAAATCAATGGATAAAAAAATTGGTGGACAAAGGGCTCATATCCACTTAAGTTTATAGGAGTTTTACTCGTTAACCAAATACAAAAGAAACTGAAACACTACAGAAAGTTTATGTACACTTATCTGTAGTATTTGTTGCATCTTCAAATAATTTTTTTCTATTCCATATAGATCTCTGTTCTAGCTCTACATATTCTTTTTACATAATTGTCATTCTTTCTTCAATATTTTTTCCATTGAATCTAATCACCATTGTTTCATAACTATCTATTGCCTAAATATAGTCTTTTTTGACAAGTATATCAATATGTTCTATTATGAAAATGCACAAAAATCATTCTAATATTAACTAATAAAAAAATATTGTATATAATAGTATACGTCAACGACAACGGAAACTTGATTACTTAAAAACATAAGAAATAAATGACAACAAATCTTCCAATTCAATCCAGCAGGCCAATCTTTCACAAGGGAACCAAGCATTCAAAGAAATTAATAAAATTCATGAGATGACAATAATTCTAGAGAAATTAAAATTTATTTACTTAATAGCCTTAGTCTTTGACCGGGAAAGTCTTTGACTGGGAAGAACCTCTCGATTTACTTATGCTAGACATCTCGTACAACCTATCGGCAAAAATTTCAAAAATATAAAATAATTATTATGAATCTCCCAGCTGAGGCTCAATTCCTTTATAAACCAGAAAAAATATTTATTAATTACCAAATTTATCTAAAACTTCCTCTGTGACAATGGTCTTTTCTCCTTCACCAGAAAGTTGAAATTACCTCATCGTGATGCACCAAAATAAGAGCGAGAGAGACGTGTGATGCCAAAATAAGAGCGAGAGGGTGCGTTTATGCAAACTAGAGAGATTAAAGATAATTATTTTCAAAAATTTTGAGATCAATTTGGGGGTTTTGAGGTTTGAGAATCGCTCTATTTAGGAAAGTGAAATAGAAGAGAGAGAGAGAGAGAGAGAGAGAGAGAGAGAGAGAGTGTAAGGACCATGAATTTTCGATACTAGTAAAATAATTTTTCTGGTATTTTAAAATATTCAATTATTATTTTTAAAAGAGTATTTGTATTTTCTTGATTTTATAGAATATAGTATGATTTAAAAATCTAGTTTTATATTTATTTTAATGGTTTGTTAATTATAAATTTAATAGTTGCGGTGAATATTTTTAGGTTGTTATTTGGTCATTGATATTACTAGTATTTAAACCCGTGCAAAGCACGGTTCCTAAAAGATTGTCTTTTTTGTTTATTCTTTTGTGGTCTTCGACATAAAATGTATGGAGAAATGTATGTATGTGCATGTATCTATTATTAATTTTAATAATTGTTTCTGCTCTCACTTTTTTTTTTGAATTCTGATGGCAGTGTCAAACTCCTTGACATCTATAGAAACCGACACAATATCAGTGTTGCTTCTGGTTTAAATGACCCAGTTGTTGCTACGGGGATATCTGACCTTATATACGAATCTAAAGAAACACATAAAGATCCTGGTTCCATTGATCCTGACTTGGCAATGGCATGGGCAGAAGACTACTTAACCCGTGCATTGCATTTAAGCAATTAATTGATAGTTCAAATAAAAATGCACACCCACATAAAAACTTTTTAAATGCATACAAAAAATCTATCGTTAATTAAAAAAAATTGCTTCGGGTTAAAAAATGCATTCCCTTGAATCAGCTACCAGAAACTTGAAAAGAAAAAAAAGGAAAGAAAACCATGATAATTGATGAATAAATGCTGTAAAACATCAAAAAAAAAAGGCAGAGAAAATTCCCAAATTAGATATTTAGTCTGGGCAAGCTTGGTGTGCCTTTCTTACAGTGAAATATAGGAATATAAAAAGGTTCAGAACAATGAGAGGAGTCTGAAAATCAGAGGTATGTAAATCTGTGTCGTCTTTAGCTTATGTGGGCAGAGATAGTTGATAGCTTAATGCTGGCAACCTGCAAATGCTAGAAGACTTCATTAAGACTTTCATTCCACTTGTATTCAATCAATAAATTCCAATACTTTTAGTGGTGCTTCTCTGCTGATTTTTATCTGTGTGATCTTGCCATGACAGCATGCTGTTAAACTCAGTTCGATTATGCAGAAAAAGCGAGAATACATCATGAGTTTCAACAATAGCTTATCGCAGTACTCAGAGCAACTAACACCATATTTGCATGAAACCAAAAGATACATATCTACTGATCATTCAAACATTAGCACGTGATATTGTAGCCCATGTAAAGGCATATACTACTTATTCATGATGGATAAGTGAATTTTCTCAATTAAGATTGACTTAGGATTAGTTATGCAAAATTGTCAAAGACACTTAATGTTAGATAATGGTTCACATCAGTTAACTTAATATGTCCGATTAGCTGCTCTTGCTTGTACATAAGTCAAAACTGATGTTAGGGTATACTCACAGCTTTAATCTTATGAAAAGAAGGCAAGAACTCATAATAACCAACTTAGTTTCTAATCTTATAAGACTCAATACGCACTGAGAAAAAACTTCCTCTAACAATTGTTGCATTAGCACATGATTCATTATCAATTACAACCCTAACATGGAACAAATTCAAGAAATTAGAAGATTGAAAGTAAATGAATAAAAGAATAGACCAAAAAAACTCAAAAGATGCAAACCTTGGTGGGTTCATTCTCTGATTGAATATTTCGTACTCATCGTCATTGTCCCAATAAGAACTCATCAAATCTGTCTCTGTAAAATTAAACCCAGAAAATGGAAAGAAATTTAATTATCAATCAACAAAAAAAGACACCCTAATGCCCATATTAAAAATCCCCAAAATGAATCAACAACATAGAGAACCAATTAAAACCAAATAATTAATTCTTGTAAAATCACAAAATCAACTCGACAATAAAATATTTTTAGAGGAAAACCGACTGAAGACATCAAAATAATTGATGAGTCCATTCTAAAATCATTAAGAATTAGAAAGGGAACGAATTAAAATTGCAAGAAAGAAGGATTACCCATTTGAGAGAAAGGAATCAAGAGGGTCGTTGAGAGATCAAACAACCTGTTTATCGAGAGGGTTATTGAGAATTAGGGGGTGAGCGACGCCAGGAGCGGGCCGCCGGCGAACTGGATAGTCTAGTTGGAGTCAGAGATCGAGCTTTTTAGGGTTTCGGCCTTGGAGAGGAGGGAGCGGAGGTCGTCGAAGGCGCGATTGAAGTCCTGGTAGTGAGCTTTGCAGACGGACTCGATCTCGGACTCCTTGGATCGGGCGAAGAGGCGGAGGTTGTGGAGGAGGTCCTCGGGCTTGAACTGGGCGAAGAAGCGGCGGATGAAGGGGGAGAGGTCGTCGCCGTTGGAGATGGCGGCGGAGAGAGATCACGTCGTCGTCGTGTCACCACCGCCGGTTGAGAGCGGAAGTGGGGAGGGAGAGAGATCGCGAGAGCAGAAGGGGGGTTGAGATCGAAGAAAGGATGGAACGTGGGAAGTTTGGGAAATGGGAACGTGGGAGAGAACGTGGGAGTAAATGGATGGGTTGAAACGTGGGTTCTCATTTTATTTTTTATTCTCATTGTTTAGAAACTTATGTTACTGTTTATTATAACTTTTTGTTGTTCTCCTTTAGTAATAAAGAAGTAGATTAATGATCTTGTTATTATTAATATAAACCTGAGCTTAGTACATTAGCGTATATATAAACATATACATATTTGGTTGTTAATATGTTTAATTACTACTATAATGATTATTATTATTATGTATATAGTAATATATCTTCATAACAATATTCTCTCTCTCAATTTTTCTTCCTAAACCCTCACGTTCTCTCTCCCTCCAATAATTGTGTGATTTCTTTCCTAATTCTCTCCCATAATCACATTAATTCCTCTCCCATAATCACGATTTCCTTCCTTTTCTCTCCATAACCGACCCATCTCTCTCTCTTTATTTTAACACTCACATGATTCTCTCTCTCCAATAATTCACTCCATCTCTCTCCTCCATTTCCCAAAAGGTTGAACCAGCCTCATCTCATCTCTCTCGTTTTCAGCCCACGACCCCCACACAACCGTCCTCTTCTCCACCAACTCTACCTCATGAGAGCTCCACCTCCGTTCTCCCCCGCTGTCATCGTGCTCACTGCAACCTTGATCACCGCCGGCCTCCGCCCCCATCTCCGCCCCACTTCGCTGCCCGCGCTACTCCTCCACCTCGTCGACCACCCAAACCCGAACCCAACCTCCAGCAGCCCCACACGCCCGCAGCGTCGCCGGCCATCTCTTCCAAGCCCGAGCTCCTCCCCTCCAGGCCACCGTCAACCACCTAAACCACCAACCTCCCGCTGTTCATCACCAGCACCACCACCGTCCCTTCATCAGTTCCACCAGCTCCGGACACCACCCCGTCGTCGTCAAGCTTCCCTCCAACTCTAACTCCTCTTTGTCTCCTCCCCTCCTTGACCGAGCAACCCCGCCGGATCCCCGCGTAGCCCTGTCGGAGCCCTCCTCTTTGTCTCCTCCCCTCCTTGACCGAGCAACCCCGCCGGATCCCCGCGTAGCCCTGTCGGAGCCACCAAGACACCCCGATGACCCCAGCTACCTCCTCCCACCTCCGGCAAGCCCGAACAGCGAGAAGAAGCTCCGAGCAGCGAAAAACGAACCTGAACAACGACCAAATGGCGAAAATCTGCACTGCAGAAAACTGCAGCTTTGTACCAACTTCGCGTGCACTTTCCGATCACCTCCGACCTCCGTTTTCATCGATTTTTTCTCCGTTCGCAGATTCTGACAGTTTCGTGCCGACTTTGCACGTGTTTTCCGGCCACCTCCGGTCTCCGTTTTCGCCACCGTCTTCGTCGGTGTATAGCCCTTTATATTGTCTATCACACGATTGACTTTCCGACGAGCCGCGGAACCCGTCGTGACCCGTACAGCCACCCCGACAACCACCGCTGCAGTTGACGACGTACCCGAGGCAAGATCCTGCTTCCCTTTGCTTCGTTATTTTAATATTTATATCTGACTAATTAGTTGCGTAGATTATACTGATATTATATTATCTGCGTGGGTTTGTTGATAATACTGCGGTGGTTATATTTTGTGCAGTGATGCTATATATGATGAGTGGAAATATTGAAAAATAGTTTATGATTAATTACGAAAAGTTTTTGAAAGAAAGAATAATTTTGTAAAAGGGATTATTCTGAACTATTGTTATGAGAAATATTTTAAAAGAATTTATTTCGGAAGAAGTAATATTAAATAGAATATTTAAAGATTATTTTAGATTTATTGTAATGAGAAAAGAATTTACTTTGTGTAAAAGAGATTATTTTAGAATAATAATTTAAAAGATTTTATTTTATAAAAAGATTATTTAAATAAATAAAGTTATGATTTTTTAACGACTCGTTGGATTATTATAATGAAAAATAAGTCTAAAAGAAAGTATTTTGGAAAAAGAATTATTTTCTGAATTACGTAGTTGCTGTTCATGATTACGTTTCGTGTTTTGTGAATATTTTACTGTATTCCACATGTCATGATGTGGTTGCGTGAAATTAGTGTTATTATTATCTATTTGTTGTGTTTGAGAACCTTAGTAGTTCATGACTTAGTGGCCTCGTGCGTCATGGACAGACTTAGTGACATGTGTGAGTGTGTTGACTGAGTTTAGACGGTGTACCCGAGTTTTCAATGAGGTTTATGGTTGACTTAGAAAATACAAGAGAGTTGGGATGGGGAAGTCCATGTTTATGTGATCGGATAAGACTGTTGATGTATCTTCCAGGCTCGCGCCAGTGAATTCGTGTAGTCACTGGGGTTGGTTTGTTGGGCTAAAGTGAATTCGTGTAGTCACTTTAGTCAGTGAATTTGTGTAGTCACCCGAGTTCTGCTTGAGTTCGGACCAGGTCGAAATCGGATTGCGTGTAGTCCTCTGACCGATTCGTGTAGCGGTATTGGATGCGCGTAGAGGATTTGTGAACAGTCAGTTATCCGGTGATATGAATATTGACTTTATGTGAGATGTGGACCAGTGAGTTTTAGGATGGCTAGTTACATGACCTCGTTGCTTGGCTAGGTATGGATTCTTGCGAGATGTATGCCAGTTGTGTTTCTTTTCATACATAGATCGATGTTAATATTTAATTATTTACAATTCGAGACATATGGTATATACATGAGGGTTTCCTTGTTTGGATTATTTCGGTCGACGTACTACGTCTCGAGTTATAGATTTTTAAGTATTAATTCCATCTAGTTGTATGACCTTGTGACTTGGATGATTATTCTGATCGCTAGCTGCATGATTTCGTTACCTGATTGATTTACGGATTCTTATGATTATCATGTTTTGGTAGTGGATTGCATGTTGATTTTGTTGGATTAACAGTTGCACGTTCTTTTGTCGTTTCGGTTATCGTATAGTTTTTCGCTTGGGTTTTCGTTCGTTCTTTTCTTTTGTGGGGTCTTGACGTGTGCCATGCACCCTGACGTACACCTGTTTTCTCTGGTGTACGTCAGACTTAGAAGAAGAACAGGTTTAGCTGGGAGATCACCAGGAGCCGGAGGATTCTCAGCAGGAGTGCCTTGCAGACGTAGCAGAAGAAAAAGCCGAAGCTTAGTCATTCCTTTCAGATTGGTTTGTTGTACGTTCATTTCCTTTTGATCAGTGTATTTTTATATTCTCCAGTATTTCATTCAGATAGTTTGTATAAGGGCATGTTGACCCGAATATTATGTCTCGGATGTTATCCTATTTGTGATATGATGTTTTTATTCTGAGTTTGTCTATTATATTCTTACTGATTGTGATCGGGGACCTGTGACTTAGCATTGTATTTATTTCCAGACGCTTAGCGTATTGGATTGAGAAGAAAAGAAAAGAGAAAAAAAAATGGTAGTGTATATTTCTTCTCAATCTAATACATCGCGGGCTTGTTCACGTTCCGATTCCCGGGTATATTGGGAAGCGGGGCGTGAGAGAGAGAGAGAGAGAGAGAGAGATAGGAAGAGACCGATTATATTTGGGGATGACGGGTAGTTTAATTAGGAATTTTTAATTTATTGGGTAAATATAGTATAAAGAATGATGATATTATACATATTGGGTTTGAAAATAAATGGGATGAGATATATTGGGTGTATTGATGTTTGTAAAAGTGGGTGGGTTTTTAAATAAGCGAGGGTAAAATTTTGGGTCAAAAGAGAGAAACGCTAAAAAATTGATGGGTAGTATTTGCAACAAGTTTAATTAATAGGATTAACAAATAAAAAGTTATCGAATAGTTAATAATCAGCCGAATTGAATATACATTTAGTTAAATTCTATTTTTTTATAAGTTGAATACTAAAAAATATTCATTTAGTATTAAATAAACTGTCGGATCGAATATGACCAAATATCTGGACGAATATTAACCGAATTGTTTATTAAATATTTGGTTCGCTTCCACCCCTATAGTAGGTCTTGTTAAAAGATCAATATATTTCTTAAATAATTAGGACATATTTAGAAATAGAGTTAATGTTGGGTTTGATATGCAAAAAGTCACTATTAAAAGGACATGGAGGGTGTGATACATCAGAGTTGTTAACCATAGTGGCATAGCCATGAACCAGAGCTTAGGGTTGGGGGCACATTTTTTTTCTTAAAAAATACTAAAGCAATAGATCTAATACTTATGTTTAATAACATGAAGATTTTTTTAAGATAAAGGATATGGTTTCAAACTCGAAAACCCTCGATCAACTATTATGTATAAACTAATTGTTTACAAAAAAAAGCGTATTCCCTGTTGGGATCTGAGATGAAGCTTAGATAGGGGTGAACAGAGTTTCACAAATATTTTAACAATTTTAAAAAAATAATGATAGAGTTATGCAATAGAAATAAATACAACATAGATAACAAGCAACTACAATCACAAAGTACTAGAGTTTTTATAATGGTTCAGATAAATCCTACTACAATCACAAACTTTATGGTAATATTTATATATTTTAAACTTTTAGGGGTTTACTTGTATTTTTTTTGAAGTTTAAGGGGTTGTTTGCAATTTTTTGGTTCTCTTACGGGCCTCTATGGAATTTTAGATTTATTAGGATGCTATTCCTATTAATGGATCTTATGAGGTCATTTGTAGTTTTTGAATTTGTAGGGGTTGTTTATATTTTTTAGGAATTTAAGGGGGTATGTGATAATTTTCTTATCTTGAAAACCCCTTTTATATAAAAGAGGGATTTGATTAATATTTGAATAATTTTAACTTGATAAGGAGTCTTAGGTAAAGAGGATTAAGGATGAGGATTTTGATTATTAGAATTCCCTAATTATGAATTGTTTGAACTTGATTAGTATTATTAGGTGAAAATAGAATTAGACATATGGTAATTTTTGACACATGACATGTTTTGAGCTTAAGAGTAGTTCACCAATTACGTATAAAGAAGGGATATAATTATGAGATTTTTAATTATGGATAGTTAAAAACTAAACAAAATGTTGCAAAGTTGATCTGTACTTTTTTTTTTTTACAAG